GATTTCTCTTTCTTTACCTAAATTCACCCCATACCCTGCAATAAAAATCCACAGCCATGATCCACCCATACAAATGAGATTTCCCCATCAGGTTCATCCGAAGAACCAAAATTACTAAATGTACTAAAAATATTCAATACATTCATCAGAGTCCCTCCTTCAAGAAGGCACCGAGTTTATTCTGAAGCATGTCTTTCACCAGCTCCCTGGAGTTCAAAGTTGGATGTTCAAAGTTAGAAGTTAAAACACTGCATGGGCTGAGAATGCATGGCACTACCTTGCACGGGAAGAGAGAGGATTTTAAGATGGGAAGCAGAATCAGAGAATAAAGATGTTAAGAAGGTTGTATGAACTCCGATAAACCCAGTCACACCTTTAGTACAACTGCTGATCTTGCTAAGTGGTGTTGTTAGTGGGCTAGCTTGTACACAAAATCAAAGGAGCTAACTGTATGTGGCCAGTGTGGGGGTAGGGCAGACCATACACGACCCCAACAACTGCAAAGGTCAAGGGACACCCCAGGAGGCAAAGCACAGGTGCCCCCAGAGTCTCAGGGGATGACTCTGAGTTCTGTAAAGCCAAGAGATTCAACCAGTAAGGGAACTTGAAGTGACACCTCACTGACACAGTTATTCTTCCTACACAGATACACTTTGAACGCTTAAGTAACTGGCTGCATTTATGCCACCTAACTTTGAGTACAAATATCAGTGCATCCATGGCACCAACAACCTCTGAGCTTACAAACAAGAAAGAGAAACCTCTAGTGCCAAAAGCAGGAGGACTCACAGCAGAGAGAAGCCATGATTCTCAAGAAAACAGGACCCTACCTGCTGGGAATTTAAGCATCAGCCCCCACCCCTGCTCTGGTCTGTTGCCATCCTTTGGAATCCTGACTGGGTCATGCTCCATGCCACCAATCTTATGGCCACTCCTCTATATGTCCATTCAGATCACAAAGTGGGGCTGAAGAGAGCACCTAGCTTCCTCTTAGAGCACTGTATGCTGCGCCAGCTGCTGTTGGAAGCACCCAAGGAGTTTCCAATGGTCCTGAGGCCCAGGCTGCACCCCAACTCACACAGCGTCTCTCAGATGGACTCTAGACATTGGTATATTTTAAATCCCCAGGTGATTTCATTTTGTGGCCAAGGTGCTAACCACTGCTCTAGAGGCATTATGTATAGATTTCTCAACTTAGTTAGCCAGATTTTCCTAAAGAAAAAACTACAGTTTTCCCATATTCTTCATAAGGTGTTCCTAACTTTGCATGGTCGTTGAAATGCTCATACTCATTGGCTACAACCCCATTAATGACTTGCTCCTAGTGACTCCCAAAACTCCTAATGACCCAAGTCCTTTCTGAAATAGTCCCAAGCCCCATTTTTTTTTGAGCCTCGCTCAGTATCACACAGCTTTGTCACACAACAGACAAGAAAGAACCCAACCAAGAGTGTGGGGTCAGCAAACAATGCTACTCCCATCCCTTGAGACCTTGCTCAGCTGGTGGGAAGGACAGCTAACCAGTATCTGTCTATTGGGGTCCTCTGGCCATTGTGGTTTCCTGTGTGCCCCTTCAGGCAAGGTTTGTGTCTCTGAATCTCCAAAACCTTAAGACACACCCTAAAACACAATACTTATGACCGAATGAGTAAATGGAGGGTTTGTTTAAGATAATGGCAACAATGTAGCTATTCTTGTCCTATAACAAAACAAAAGAAATCACAGCTCTACCAAGCCTGTGAAGTCATCGGCATGTCCCAATTATGAAGGCAACACTGCCTACCGTGAGCTATTTTTAAAGCTCTCACAAAGAACCAAGTCTGTTTTTGACTACTCCCTATGTAATAAAATCAATCTCAGATATTTAGAGAGCTGTTGACAAAAACACAAAAGCTAAATTTAGCCTAGAACGCAATGCAGACTGGCTTTCATCTCTGGACTTACCTCCAGAGTCCTGTCCCTTTTAAAAATATCTAATGACAAATAACATCAGGTACCAAAAAAAAAAAAAAACCCTCCAGTTTAAAGTGAAATAGAATCTCAAGTCGGATCATATGATAGTTGTGCTTGAAGGAGTCCTTCAGAAATTTATCTAAGTACAGTCTGGGAAAAGTAAAATGGCACAATGTTATGCTTAGAGAAATGAAATCTTCAAAGAGTTTAATATTCCTATTGAAATGGACAGAGCAAGTAGCCCCACCCCAGCAGGCACCATCCTTCAGGTGTGAGCCCTCTGCTTCTACAGCACAGCCGACACCCCTGTCTTCCTGGGTGAAGGCAACCCAGGCAGAGGGCTGAGACCTTTCCCACAAAGCATGATCTGCAGCTGTCCTCTGTAGAGGACATCCAGGCAAAGCAGAGGTGAGACCACTGGGAAAAAGTTCCAGGCTTTGGTCAGTCTGGGCATACACACTTATGTCTACAACTTGGGCCATATAACCTGTAATGACAGGTCTGTACAAAACTATAGATCTGTGATTTCCACTCTACCCTCTCCCATGAGCCATGCTAAGGAAGAGAGATCTTTTGCTGGGCTCCCCTTTGTTACAGAAAATAACAGGAAGGGGTAGCCCAGGGCCAAGTAATTCTCAGACACAGAGCTGACACTAAGTGCCTGCTTGGACTGCAGGCTGACACAAAGAGGCGGGGAGTCAAAGGGAAGCATCTGTGCAGAGGAGACAGAGAAATGTGGGTTAAGAGTACACTTAGGAAGTGTGACTGTGAGCAGGGATGTACACCCAGTGAACTCTGCACACTTCAGATCTGTTCTCCCATTGCTTCTATGCTGTTTGGTTGCAACTCCACACAGACACGGGATCCGATGGGTCCCAGGTCCCATGTTGGTAGCGAACAGGTGGTGGCTGTTATTCACTCCTTCCTGGGCGAATGTCTGGGTTCAGCTCTCCTGGCTGTGTGCCCATCCAGGCAAAGCCCTCCAGGCCTTGTCTCCCTCAAGCCTCTAACCACATGTCCTCTCATTTTAACTCCTGTGGACAGGACAGACATCTGGTAGCAAAACCACATTGGCCATTCCAACTTCCTGGTGGGGGAGAAACAAGAACAGTAAATATAGGCACGCATGCATGGGTGTGTGGGTTGGATATTATTTGTATTATAAGAAAAGGGATCCCGTTTTATACAATAAGATAAAACCTTGAACTAAACTCATAAATAACTACAGGTTGAGTATCCCTTATCCTAAATGCTTGGAATCGGAAGTGTTTCAGATTTCAGAGTTTTTTGAATTTTGCCATAGACTTTACCAGTTAATCTAAAAATTAGAAATCTGAAATTCCCCTACATCCACAATTGTGTAAGCACCATGCACAAAAAGTTTCAGATTTTAGAGCATTTCAGACTTGCAGATTAAGGATGCTCAAACTGAAGCTAGTCACTAAGAGAAAACTGTTACCATTCTTTGTTTTTTTTTAATTATGGCATTTCTCATCTTGAGCAAAAGATGAACATTTAGGATTAGTTCTCAGTCACTGGAAGAAACCTTCAGGCCACCCCTCAGACAGTGCCTTTGGGAATTCCTGGCCTGTCCTGTTGAGCCTCTCACCCAGGAACCCTTGAGTCGAGCCTGGTCACTTCCAGCCTCAGGCAACATCCCCTTCTTGGAGACCACAGCAACAAAGAAACAGAATGAGACAGAAAGCAAGAAGATACCGTCACAGCAGGAACAAGAAGCCTCGCCTATTTTAGGCAGTAATGTGTTATTAATAAGAATTATGAATAAGAATTTGCAGGGGAGTTCTCAGCTTCTAGACCAGGGGTGCACTTATTCTTCAAAGAACTAGATAATAAGCATTCTGGCTCTGAAGTCCCTGTGGTCACTGTCACAACTACTTAACTCTGCCACTGTACGTTAGGAAGCAGCAGTTAATGTGTATGGAGTGGGCACAGTGTGGTACTAGGGAACTTTATTTGTGGACTACGCAATTTGAATTCCAGGTATTTTCGTGTCATGAATTGTTATTCTTCCTTTGACTTTTTTCAAGTATTTACAAATGTAGACACTACACTTAGCTCCCAAGCCATAAAAAAACTGAGTGTGGAAGACCCCACTAATGAAGACAGACAACTTTTCAGCCCAGCAGCACACTAACATTCACCTCCTGCCCTCAGCAGGAACTAAATTCACTCCAGCCACAGAGCCTCCTCTGCAAACTGTTTTCTGACAGTGTTGTCCTGCGTCTAAATTGGGTCCCGTTGTTTGCCTTCAGGATCTGGGCACGATGGTATGAGTGGACAGGGGGCGTACAAGGGATCCAATCACATCTCAGCCACTCACTAGCCCAGCCGTCCTGGCCATGCCTCTCCTCCCCACAGTTCACAATTCATAAAAAGCAATAGGAGCACATCTGCTGCTTCACACCTGTTTGCTGACTTCCTCTGAACTTAAGACCAATTCTAAATACAACACCATTCTTCAAACCTGAGAGGGTACTGCTTATTTGCTAAGTTTTTTGGCTACTGAAATCATATTTACAAATTAGTCTCTTAACTTGCACAAACAGGTATATGCAATTTTATGTATGGCTGGGGGTCATTTAATCATCTAACCAAATAAAAGAACTCAGTTCACCACATTAAATGTGTCACGGGCTGGTGTCTGTCTCGATGTGTGAGAGCAGATGTGCCTTTCTCTGTGGCTAGCATCTGTACAATCACAGCAGTGACTGAACACTGTGGCATCTCAATGGCCACATGACCCTGGCCATATCAAGTAACCATTATCACATCAGAGTCCACAGAAGTTATAAATATACCACCAGGGCCCCAACTGGAGAACAATTGAGTAATGACAATAGAAATAGCTCACACTCCATAAGACCATCTTCCCCTCCTGGAGAACTGTTCTGAAATCAGCTGTTTTACAATGGAGAGACAGCCAGAGCCAATCAGAGGAACACTTCAAATCTTTCAGAAGATGGACAAAGAGCCTCAAGTTAGAGCAGGGTCCCCGGAGCTCGCATACCATGCTGCCCTGGTGGCAGGAGACCTGGACCACCTTCAGCCCCTCATGGACCAGTTCTTCCAGGATGCCAACATGGTGTTGGAGATCAGTAAGGATGAGATGGAATGGCAGGTGAAATCCCCAGCCACGTTTGGGCTCTCAGGTACCCTCACTCCTTCACAGTTCGCTTATGCATTTTTAAGGCACTACTAACCTCCGGGAAGGTATGGATCCCACGTGTAGGTTAGACAAGTGGGCACAGTATTGAAGGAACATCTGTAAGGAAAGGCTAGCTGAAAATAAAATTTGGTCTTGATGGCTTTTAAAGGGTAGGGTTTAAGTGATGAGTGTGAGAGGTGCAACTGGAAAAGACAGAACCACTGGTGAGAAAAGGCCATCTGATGCCTGACAGCCTCTTGCCTTAAGAAAAGAGACTTGGGTTAGATGCTGATCTACCAATGCCACCCTTGGCAGCCAGGGAGGCAGGAGGTAGAAGAGAAGGACAGTCCCCTGGCATGCAGCCATGTTAGAGGTCCTTCTATGAATCCCTGAACACCACCACCACAGGGAGAGGCTGGGGCCCAGCCAGCATCCACCGAGTGAGAAGAATGAGGTTCTTGGAACCTCCTGAGAACAGAGAAGAAAAGGGAAAGAAATCAGAGGTCATGTGTCATGTATGTCTGAGGGAGTGCACTCTTGTTGCCTGGAGGCCAGAAGACTCCCCAAATGGAGAGCTATCCCCCTTGCCCCCACCCCAGGAGGAGGTGACCACCCAGCTGCACCAAGGTTTTGGGGCTGGCAGTCTATGTCAGGCACCTACCCACCACAGGTTCCTGTGTTGGAATCCACTAAGCTCTGCCAGGCCACGGGAATTTGCCAGTGTCAGGCTCCCTGACCTGTGAGCTCTAGCAGGAGTGACAGGGAAGGAGGTGGCAATTCCAGTGGTCTGGGCTGTACTGACTCTCACTGGAGCCTTTTGGGCCTCCTTTCCTTCACCTGCCCCATACCAAGAATGCCAACTGCTTGAACGCTCAAGTCATGCTTCTTTCTTTAATCACATGTGTCTCGGCCCTAGATCCTCACACATGCTCTAATGTCGTAATTTCAGATAGACATTAATTGTAACCCATCTGAATCCAAAGTCAGGTTCCTTTTGCCTTGTTAATCTTTCTACCCTAAGCTCTACTGTCTTTCTGTGACGTGACAGGAAGTTAGAGAGTGCGGACAGCTGAGGTATAGGTCACTATAGCCCAAACAGTTGCTATGGCCTCAGGCTCAGGGCAGACTGGAAGAGGAGGGAGGTCAGGCTGCTCTTAAGGCCCAACCAACTGACTCCCCAAAGTAGAAAGAGCTCCTGTTTGAGAACAGCAGCCCCATTTGCTCTGTGCTGTCAGAGAGTTCCAGCTCCCCACGAGGGGGATTATGAGGAAGAGAGTGCCAAGACACTTGGCAGTATCACAGAAGCCAGGCCCTCAGTTATCTCTGTGGTGGGATGCTGACCCCAGATCATGGTCAACAACGGGTTGGCAGGACGCAGCTGATGTTCACAGTGAGGCCCCTTCATACAGAGAGAAGTCTGGATCCGTGTTCTTCCTGGTGGCAGAACCAGGACCCCCAGGGGAGGGAAAGGGGGGATTATAGTCAGCTGACTCAGGCTCTCTGAAGCAGGTTCTTTTGCTGGTCTGATAGATGCTCACAGCACCTTCCAGGACTGTGGGAGGAAGCTGGCTCCACAGTACCTGAGCCAGCTGCCCACCCATAGCCTTCCCATCAGTCTCCAGAAAGACTCAGGAATCCAGGGTAGGGTGGATTTGGGGACTTAACATGTCCTGGAAAAGTCAGTAAGTAGCCCTCGTATCTTAGGAAAATAAATAGAACTGACAACCCAAGAGGGTCACTGCAGTAATGCAGGTTGTTTTTAGCAGAGACAACACCTATCCTCCCCCTCTGAATCAGACTGTCTTCACCGGGAAAGACAGCCCAAACCTGTTCAGGCCCCAGGCCCAGGGCCTCTGGCCACCATTACTCCACACCAGAGACAACAGACCCTCACTTCCCCCACTGAGTGGACAAGCTCCAGTCTGGGGCTTTGGGACAAGGGGCAGGCTGGAATTCTGCACCACACACAGGTAGGTAATTAATGAGTGGTCTTTCAAAACAGCTCAGCGTGGGTCCAGAGAACGAGGTGGCCTGCCAAAAGGGTCTCCTGTGCGGCTCATTACAGCCACAGTATCGATTCCTCCATCATTACAGAAGACCTTCCCGCCATGTGAGATCCAGCCCCTTGATGGGTATTCACCAGGGACTGTCCCCCTCCTTCTTTCCACAGGTGCTCCTGGCCGCTAACAACCTTCCACAAGCTTTGTGAGTTTTCAGAGAAGGAAAATGTATAGTACCTGTTCCATTCATCCTTCAAGAAAGAGCAGCCCTACACACACACACACACACACACACACACACACACCCTAGAAAGTGCAAAGAAACAAACCAGAATTGTACTGAATGTGGACCACAACATCAAAGAGGCCTTCTGAAACTCAGCCACTTCCAAGACGGCTAATTCTCCAATAACTTTTCTTGAACAGCCTTAGTGATGTAGGTCAGTTTGTTTCGGCTGTTTGTCTCCTCTTAAGGACAAAGGGAAAGAGGATGGTTGTGGAAAATTCCACAGTCCACTCTCCTCTCTCAAGCTACAGCTAATTCAGAGCCTGGAAAATGGCAATTCTGACCTTTCATTCTCCCACTGTCCATCCTGCTTGATCAGCTTTTAACTCCCTGAATCTTACCCGAGTTCCAGTCACCCCCATATTTGGCAAAACCTTCTTGCATCTCAGCACCCCATCCCACTGGCTCAAGAATAGTCTTTCCAGTCTCTTCTCCCCTCTGGGTGGCCTTCTGTCGCCCACTCAGTGTGCCTCATTGCACCGTCTCCGTTGTGTCTCTCAGGTATGCATGGTCTCACCCTCCATCAGGCCTCAGTGGACCACCGCCCCCAACCACCCCATCCGCCTTACACGATGCTCCCTCTCCCTCCCAGGCCTCTGGACCCTGGAGTACAAGCGCGAGCTCACCACGCCCCTGCGCATCTCGGCGGCCCATGGCCACACGGCCTGCGTGCGACACCTGCTCCGCCGCGGCGCGGACCCCGACGCCAGCCCGGGGGGTCGCGGTGCCCTGCACGAGGCCTGCCTCGGGGAACACACGGCCTGCGCGCGGCTGCTACTGCAGCACGGCGCCGACCCGGACCTGCTCAGCACCGAGGGCCTGGCGCCCCTGCACCTGTGCCGCACGGCCGCCTCGCTCGGGTAAGCCCCGGGCCCTGGCCCCACTCATACCCCGGACCCGGCCTCGGGTCCCAGATCCAGGACCCCTGCCCTGGACCAGAACCCGCCCTTGACCGCCAGTCCCCGGACATGGTCTTGGCTCCACCTTGGCCCCGACCCCAGACCCCTGCCACGGGTCCCAGATCCAGGCCCCTGACACTAGACCCAGGGGTCACCAGCCAGCCAGTGCCGGACCCGCCCCGGCCCCGCCCCCGCAGCCCCCGCCCCGCCCCCTCCGGCCCGGGCGGGTTAATTAGCGCTTGATTGCGAGCGCGGGGGGCGCCACGCCGCGAAATGAGCCTCTGATCACCGCACGCAGACACCGAGCTGAAGAATGCTAAAAGGCCGCTGGCGGGGTTGGAGGCTGAAAAATTAGGGTTTTTAATGATAATTTTATGCAGAATAATTGTCACAGTGTGACATAAATGGTTGGCTCCTCGGGCGGGGGCTTCTGAGACCCGCGAGGAAGGGATCGGTGTGGCTTCACCCGTCCCGGGGTGGGCTCTGCAAGTCCCCGGGCCGTGGCCTCCCCAAGGCCCGAGGGGTCCCCAGGGGCAGGGGCCGCCTGTCACTGCACAGGATTTGTGTTCGACTGCCTTGTGTCGTCCTGACATTTCTTTTAGTCTGAATGTTCCAGACAGACCTTGCCCTTGGGTCATAATCGCTTGACCTTTGTCTGTGGTGAGGATGGCATAAAATCGCGGTTGGGTCACGGTCGGTGTCGCCCTTGCTGCTCTCCCACCAACCATGGACACTTGCTCTAGTCTGCACTCAGAGAAGGGCAAGGGCAGCAGGCAGGGATGCTACCAAAGAAATGTCACTAAGTTAATTGTGTGGACTCAGGAAGGCACGCAAACCCACCCAGGTCTTGAGAATGACTGAAAGAAACAAATTCTGGCAGTTATTTTTTTAGGCAGTTAGTGAAGTGTAACTGGCATACATGTGTTTCTAAGTGTGCAGTTTTTTAACAATGTCTAGAATTTTACATTGTGGAATGTATTCTTTTGTCTGGCTTCTTTCGCTCAGCATAATATTCTGACACTCATCAATGTTCCTGTGTGTATCAATAGCTCATTCCTTTAAGTTACTGAGCAGTATTCCATTGTGTGGATATACCATGGTGAGTTCATTCATTCATAGTTAAAGGACATGATTGTTTCCAGTTTGGGGCTCTTGCAAATACAACAGTTTCAAGCTTTTGCATACTAGGCCTTTGTACGGGCATATGCTTTTTTGTGGGGGAGGAGGCAGGGATGGGGTTTGAACACAAGGCTTTGCAAAGCAGGTGCTCTACCACTGGAGCCATACCTCCAGTTCATTTTGCTCTGGTTATTTTGTAAATGGAGTCTTGAAATATTTGCCCAGGCTGACCTTGAAGATCATCCCAATCTCAGCCTCCAGAGTTCAGTCTTCCAAGTAGCTAGGATTACAGACATAAGCCACCAGGGCCCAGTTTGGGCTTATGTTTTATTTCTTTTGGATGGATAAGTGTCCAGGATTGACATGGCTAGATCATATGATAAGATAGGAAGCTAACTTTTAAGGAAGTACCAACCTGGTTTCCATGGTTGTGCTGTTTTACATCCCCACCAGCAATGCCCAAATGTCAGGTTGCTTTACATCCTTGCCGGTGCTTGGCGTGCCCACCCTTTACTTGCAGGCTTTCTAACAGGTGTGAGAAGCAACTCATCGTAGTTTGACTGATGGACAGTGATATTGAGCTCCTCCCCATGTACTTGTTTGACATCCTTATATTTTCTTAGGAAAGTGTTCAAATCTTCTCCCCCACACACCTTTTTTTTTTTAATTGGGCTGTTTTCATATAAAAAATTGGGGATATTTTTATGTATTCTAGGTACGAGTCCCTTGCATATATGTGACTAACAGATGCTACCTCCTGGCCTCTGGCTTACATTTTTTTCTCTTAACTGTCTTTTGAAGAACAGAAGGTCTTCATTTTGATGAAGAGTGACTTCCCAATTGTTTTTCTTTCAGGGATTGCTTTGGGTTATTACATCTAAAAACTCTTTGCCTAACCCAAGCTCACAAAGACTTTGTCCTACATTTCCTTCTAAATTTATATTTTCATATTTACATCTACAGGATTCATCTTGCTATCTTGAGTTGTAACCGTCATGAATAACCCTAGCTGGTTTTCCCTGCATGGTTTCCCAGCAAACTATAAATAGACAAAGGCATGAGAGTGCTCTGTGCTCTAGGGCTGAGTCCAACTCTTCCATATTAACTTAAGATAAATCAAGTCCACTCCAGCTAAGATGAGGTCACTATTGGCCTAACCCATAAACACACCCCTCCTTCAGACCTAAATTGCAGGGAGCCAACTGCTCGTGGAGCCACCCAGGACCACACGTTCCTCATGAAGTCCCCCAGTAAATTGCACTCTGCAACCCTGGATCTCTCTGTCTCTCTTTCTTTGGTCTCACAGCACTTTGGGCCAGGTCTCGTCCACTGGAACTGGGTTGTTCCAGAACAAAGTCGATGATCCATTTTGAATTAATCGCTATATGATGCAAGCATTTGGGGTGTTGTTTTGTTTTTGCATATGCACCTCCAACTTTTCCCGCACTGTTCGTTAAAACCCTTTCCTGTCTTTACTCCACTTAGTTGCTTTGCCCATTTGTCAAAAATCGGTTGACCACATATATGTGAGTTTGTCTGGATTCACTTTGTGAAACACTCATAAGACAGGGCAAGGTCTTATTGATTTAACTGGTAAAGACACAAGGAGTCACCCTAATTACATAAACAGTGAAAGAAAGACGAGCCAGAGGTGCCAGTTCCTCATGGTCCTTGTCATACACACCTACACACACACACACACACACACACACACACACCAAAAAAGATGACACCCAAGGAAAGGGGGCTGGATTTGCTGAGCAGCCAAATCTGGACTTCAGCTGGGCGGTCTTGGTCTGCAGTTCTATTCTGAAGGCAGAGGCAGAAAAAGTCCCATAGCTCATCAGAACCCAGGAGACCAAAAGAAACTGTCTCATGACCACTCCTAGGGGAAACAGGGAGGCAAGTGGGCAATGACCTTCCACCAGCTCCTTACAAACTCCCCATCTAAGAAGAAAACAAGGCACCCTGCCAAGACTCAGATTCAGCAGTGGACACAGGTAAGGTGGCCAGTGCAGGGGAAGAGTCAGCACCCCCCGTGTCTCTGTTCTTTTTTTTTTTTTTTTTTCTTCATTTTTCTTTTATTATTCATATGTGCATACAAGGCTTGGTTCATTTCTCCCCCCTGCCCCCACCCCCTCCCTTACCACCCAGTCCACCCCCTCCCGCTCCCCCTCCTCAATACCCAGCAGAAACTATTTTGCCCTTATCTCTAATTTTGTTGTAGAGAGAGTATAAGCAATAATAGGAAGGAACAAGGGTTTTTGCTGGTTGAGATAAGGATAGCTATACAGGGCATTGACTCACATTGATTTCCTGTGCGTGGGTGTTACCTTCTAGGTTAATTCTTTTTGATCTCACCTTTTCTCTAGTTCCTGGTCCCCTTTTCCTATTGGCCTTAGTTGCTTTAAGGTATCTGCTTTAGTTTCTCTGCATTAAGGGCAACAAATGCTAGCTAGTTTTTTAGGTGTCTTACCTATCCTCACCCCTCCCTTGTGTGCTCTCGCTTTTATCATGTGCTCATAGTCCAATCCCCTTGTTGTGTTTGCCCTTGATCTAATGTCCACATATGAGGGAGAACATACGATTTTTGGTCTTTTGGGCCAGGCTAACCTCACTCAGAATGATGTTCTCCAATTCCATCCATTTACCAGCGAATGATAGCATTTCGTTCTTCTTCATGGCTGCATAAAATTCCATTGTGTATAGATACCACATTTTCTTGATCCATTCGTCAGTGCTGGGGCATCTTGGCTGTTTCCATAACTTGGCTATTGTGAATAGTGCCGCAATAAACATGGATGTGCAGGTGCCTCTGGAGTAACAGTCTTTTGGGTATATCCCCAAGAGTGGTATTGCTGGATCAAATGGTACATCGATGTCCAGCTTTTTAAGTAGCCTCCAAATTTTTTTCCAGAGTGGTTGTACTAGTCTACATTCCCACCAACAGTGTAAGAGGGTTCCTTTTTCCCCGCATCCTCGCCAACACCTGTTGGTGGTGGTGTTGCTGATGATGGCTATTCTAACAGGGGTGAGGTGAAATCTTAGTGTGGTTTTCCGTGTCTCTGTTCTAATTCATCTGTTTTCGTTGATACCACATTGTCGGAACTACTGTAACTTTATGATATATTACATTTAATGTAATTTTCATATGGTAACCTCAGTGCCAACATCTCTTACTATTTGGTTCACCTACTCTTTATTTTCTGTATCTTCTTTGTCTGCCTTCTAGCCTAAGTATTTTTTCATGATTCCATTTTATTTATTTTTTGGCACATTAAATGTAATTTTTGTTGCGTTATGATAGTGATTCCTTTAGAGTTTACAGTATACATCTTTTCTTTATCACAGTTTGCTATCAAGCAATATTTATATGTACTTAAAAAATCATATATCCAGGAGCCAATGGTTCATACCTGTAATCCTAGCTATTTGGGAGGCTGAGATCGGGAGGATCATGGTTCAATGCCAGCCTGGACAAATAGTTCAAGAGATCCCTTGTCCTAAATAACCAGAGCAAAATGGATTGCAGTGTGGTTCAAGTGGTAGAGCACCTGCTTTCAAGCTTGAAGCCCTGAGTTTGAACCCCAGTCCCACCAAAAAAAAAAAAAATCCTATAAAAATAGACTTCCATTTCTCTCCTCCTGGCCTGTGTGCTCTTGCAATCATACACTTTACTTCTACATTTAAGTTCCAGAATACATTGTTATGACTTTTGTTTAAACAGCCAGTTATCTTTTAACTGTATTAAAATAACAAGAAAAACTTCATTTTTACCCGTGTAGTTACCACTTTCAGCTCCCTTCCTTGCTTTGTGGAGCGCCAGGATTTCATCTGGCATC